TTAGATCCTGCTGCTCTTGGATGCCTTGTCAGGTCTCACTCAAAGTCAGTGCCTCTCAAGACACCCTAAGCCTTATGGGCTAGATGCATGGCTCCAAAACTTCCCTTTTACCATGCCCCATGCCTCACAGATTGTATCTAAACATTGTCTCTTTTGATAAGGCTGCAGTCTAGCTCAGCGTTCTTTTGTTACTGGGCCCTTGGCCCTTGGCCCCAGTAGCGATGCCCTCTGGTGCCAAAGTCCCTGCACCCCCTGTAGTGGTGTCTTCTGGTGCTAGGGTCCCTGCACTCCCTGTAGCAGCGCCCTTTCTGTCACTGGGGTCCCAGCAGCCCTGTCCTTGTGCCCTCACTGGCACTGGGCTCACTTCAACCCTATTGAGGCCTCCTCCTCCCCAAATAGCCTAATCCCGGCCCACCAGATTCAAATAACATAAATACAAGCCCCTGGGCTATAACATAACAACAACAACAACATTGAAAGTCACACTCTGCCGCTTTAAGGAAGCCAGCTTCTCCCTCAACAATGTCTGCCGCCTAGCCTCAGATACTTTAGGAGCTCCTAGCACCCATTAGTCTTACCAGCAGCAGAATAGGCAACCAAGCATCTCTGAGTAGTGTTTCTGCAAGAGCTCCTTCTTCCTGGCTGCTGACAGAGAACTAACCCCCTACCAGCCCCAGCCCTGGGGCTTATATGTGCCCAGAGCCTTGTTTCCTTCCGGTCAGCTGACCAGGTGCAGGTGCCAGCTAATACCCTGATTAGCCTGCTGCCAAGGCAACCTGCAGCTGTGGAACTCTGCCTAGCTAGCTAAGCTGCCTCTACTCTTGAAGGAGCAAGCACACCTTAGTGCCTTGTGACAGTGAGCCTCTGAGGAGAGCCGCACACGATGGAGCCAGCAGCTCAGCCCCACTCACTGCTACATGCAGGTACAGCTCTGCCACTCTCCCTGCCACCCTGACCAAGCCCCATGTCCTGCACCACTGGCTTCACTGCATGGGACTCAGTGGGACTGGTCCCTCATGCTGCTGCCACCTGCAGCCAGGGACTAGGGTGGAAAAGCAAGGAGCTGTGCGCTATGGGGCCAGAGGGGGCTGGACCCACTCACTGCCCGCACAGGTGCCAGCTCCAGGGACTGGCACACTCAAGGGACTCCGAGGATCCATCCACCCCCACACACATGCACCCACACACTTCCACGCACTCCACCTCTCACCATACCCCCAACACATCCACACCTTCCCACAACCCCCAAACACATTCCCACACCCCCCACCATTCCCCCAAATACACTCTACCACACACCCTCCCACCCCACCCACCATAACCCCACACACCCCACCCATGATACCCACAACCCACCACACACACAAATGCACTCCCCAACCACACACCCCCACATATACCTCCTTACCCCTACACACAATATACAAAAGTAGAATTGTATTTTGAGCTATTATGCAACTTCCTCTAGATACATGATGCAAACACACTTAAATCAGGACAAAAATATTTTTTAAATAAAATTAAAACAAGTTATAATAGAGGTTTGATTTGTTATGATATGATTTTTTTTTCTGGTTTCAAAATGGCAGTACCCTCCCTCCCAAAGGACTACTTCCAGGGCAAAGGACTTCCAGTGGCAAAAAGCAAGGGGTTAGAGGTGGGACTTCCGGTCCCCAAGATGGCAACCAGGGGATGGGGCACCCATCAGGGGGCAGGGCTACCCTCACGGCCCTCAACAGCTCACCAAAACTCATTAAGCGGTCCTTCAGCTGAAATAATTGCCCATCCCTGCTCTATATAAATGGAACATTTAAATTTATATTAGGATATGAAAACAACTGCTTATCATGACTTTTCCAATAGCATGATTATGAAAAAGACTTATTGGATAAGCTACTAGGATGATCCAGATTCCATCACTGCTGTTTTGCAATGTTAGATGCTGTGGTTAAGTAAAGGATTAGTGCAAAGAAGACATAGTAATAAATGTCTTTATTATATGCTATAACATAACAACAACATTGGACATCACACTCTGCCCCTTCAAGGAGGCAAGCTTCTCCCTCAACAATACGTGCCACCTAGCCCCAGATACTTCAGGAGCTCCTAGCACTCATTAGTCTTACCAGCAGCAGAATAGGCAACCAAGCATCTCTGAGTATTGTTTCTGCAAGAGCTCCTTGTCCCTGGCTGCTGACAGAACTAACCAGCCACAGTCCTGAGGCTTATATATGCCTAGAATTTTTAAAGTACAGGTTTCATGGACAAAATTCAACATATAAGAGACAATGCAAGAAAACATCTGAAAATTACTGGTATATTCAAATTTAGAAAATAAACTCTTTTGTTCAAATGCTGTCATGTCACTCTTAGTCATTTCTATAATATTCATCATGAAGAAAAAAATTGGTATCACTCAAACTACTGTACCTCTCCTCTGTCTCCTAACATTGAATCTGGAGGCTTAGGCAGCTGCTGACCACTGATGATTTTGAGAATAAGCTGCTTTTTAGGGTTGGCAGGAAGTGGGTCAGCAGAAAAGGGGTTGAATGTACCTAAAAGTTTGCAGAAAGTGAGAATAAGTGAAATCCTTTAATATATTATAATCTAATACAGAGAGCAAAAAACAGATATTCTACCCTCTATAAAGCACAGAACAATAATTTTATATACGCACAACACAGAACTCAGAAAAGTAAGCAGTGAATTAGGCTGACATGCAAGTTTTTGTTCCATTTTTTCTACAACCCTTTCTCAGCTGAGCAGCCCTTATTTATAAGAGAAGTCCCAATGATTTCAAGAGAGTGAGGAAACCGGGAGGCAAGGGTTTGTCAAACTGGGCTTCCCATCAAAAAATATATTTCTAAGAACAAAGTATCCTGGATACATGGACCTGGAAAAAATCATTTAAACTACATAATCCTGCATCACTTCTCAAATATTGTCTACTATGGCCCAAAGAAATGCAAACAAAGCCATTTTAAAACAACAGTGGCAAAATCAAAACCAAAATCCTCAAACAAGTACAAAATGCCTTCACTGTATGATGGAAGGGTCAGAGACTCCTTTCTAAAAGAATCTTCTAAGGATGTAATTCAATTTCCTATAAAGGGTATGGAAAGAATCTCAGTGGCTTCTGTGAGATATCAATGAAAAATCCTACACAAGTTGGTATTCTCCTTTGTCTCTTAGTCCAGTTACTTACTTCTCGATATATGATATTAACAGTTTTACCAGAAAAAAATTTTAAAAGAAGAACCACATATAAACACCACCATACAATGTGACATTACCTTTGCATATCTGCTGAGGTTTTAGGACATACCCACAGTTGCCATTCATCCTGAATTTTGCTTGATTTAACTGCATCATACGTCCATCAGACTGGTAATTTAATGCCACTGTCAAATGAGAAGATTAAGAAATCATTGATCACTATAGAACGAAACACCTGGGAAAATATACTATTCATTAAACACGTACCCAATTGGCAACCAGTAGTCCAGTAGGGCAAAGGATTGAAATTGCTGGAGTCAATCCGGTATGCCGATGGATAGATTCTGGTGAGTTGTTTTTGGTTGTAAAGCATAAACTGTTCAGCCTTCTGCTGTACTACCTGATGGGCTCTTGTTTCACTGAATGATAAAACGTTGCCTGTGGTCCCTATGTGTAGATAGTTAAAACAACAAACAAACAAACACAAAATTATGCTGTAAAACAAAGGGCTGAATTTAGGTCTGTTACACTGGTATAAACCTAGAGTAATTTAGATAGACTTCAGTAAAGTTATTCTAGATTTGGATCACATTAAATGTAAATCATGCAATATTATCACATTAAATACAGGTCACACAAGTTTTATTTTGTATGGCTACCATTAGGTAATATTCCTAAACTGAAGCTTATATAAACGTATACAATAAGACTTGTATGATGAATATAACTGCAATTGGCAATGAAGTATAGATCACATACATGTATAGTGTTTTTAGTTGTTTGGAGGTTTACGACTATAAAATGTTAAGCAACTTCTGAACAATACTCAGTAATGTTAACTCTTCAATGGGCACTGAAACTGCTGAGGAGGTCCTCAGTACCTCACAGGTTCATAATGATCTTTTCCTCCATTTATTTGCTCACAAGTTCTATGCACCACAGAACAGGAACTTTCTGTGTCCTGAAAGTATATGAGTAGCCCACTCACGTTGTCCTTAGTTGTAATAATAAGAACAATAATCCTCCTCACATGAAACCTTTAAGCTCTGTTGGTAACTACCCATTCAGTTTGTAAAGATTTCACTTGTGTGCTCCTGGGTTCTATCCTGATTCTGTTAAAATCAATACCAAAATTCCCATTGACTTCAGTGGGAACAGACCATAAATGTGTAAATCTGCTGGTGTTTCTGATTCAGTCAGTCTATAAGATGCATCTCTAGTCTGCCTTTCCTTCATAAATCTGCTCATAGCCACAGGCACCAACTTTTTATTTTTGCCATGGGGGCCTAAGATGATGGACATATGGAAAGTTTTATGCATTTCAGGCTACAGTCCTCTTCGCAAGGGAGACCAGGTCCCTTGGGCCCCCACATACTTGGTACCTCTGCCATAGTCCATTCAATTCTGGTGAAGATCTGAGCTTGTTACCCTGTACACCCAAGAACATTCACTGCATATCTCTTTGAATACATTTTATTCCTTGCCTGGTAGCTTAATGTCAATATTTGTGAAAATTCACGTCTGTAGAGCTCTACGCTAACTTCCAACACTACCAAAGGAATTTTTACACCCAAGTCTCGTAAACTCACCAGTTTACAGGTGATATATTCCTTGGATTAAAAAAATCACTCTTGTGAATTGATTTAGATCTATCCAGTGGGACTTTCTCAACTCCTTTATTATGCATCAAAAGCCTACCATTATGCAATAAGCTACCTTCCATTCTTTGTTTGGGGAAGTTAAAAAGAATTTAGAATAAGTATTCATTGTATGTACTTAAGTGTAATATAACTTCTATTTGATAGGCTATGTGAAAAAAATGCATTCTGAAACCAAATTATAGGTGCCCTAATAAGTTCTGGACAGCGGGGTCACTCAGTTGCATGAACCATCTAAAGATCATATAAGTAGAGAAAAGTCAGTCAGCTTGCTCAGGGACACAGCTAATGAACCATGCTAGTGCTGGGCTCGGGTAGCAGGGAATGTATAAATATCTCTATAAATGCTTCTGCCTCATTCAGTATGAATGCTTCTGCCTCAAACCTGAACCACTGAAAACTTGAAGAACACCCCTGACATAAGCAAGTATATTTTCCACTGATAATAATGGTAGTAGTGCTGCCTTGCACTAAGGTTTAATTTTATACAACAAATGCTCTATTTCACATTTATGACACACACCGAGCAAGTCTTTGCATCAAGTTTCAATTTATTTTTAATCAAACTGCCATTATGGCAGATCTATTCTGGGGTTTTGTTGAGCACAAGCAAATATCAAGTGGCAGATCCCATCTAACTTTCTCCATATTTATACTGGTAACATCTTTCAGCTACCTCCTGACAACCTGCAAACTTACTCAGGAATCCTCTTCCTCATACTAGGGCTGTGTGAAACAGCACCGTTTTGTTTCAGCTTCTGTTTCGAAGGAACAGCATTTCATTTTGCTGTTTCAAAGCACTGTTCCATTTCATTTAATCAAAACTGTTTCGCTGTTTTGATGCTGTTTCAACATTTCACCCATAAGCTATAATGGGGAATCACAAAAATGCCTATAATTTTGTCATTTCATGTCTGATTTGAGTGAAAATTGCAGGGATGGTAGCCCCTTCTGAGTTTCAAGGAGATAGGTGTAGGGTGTTTTGTGAAACTGCATCTCAAACTGTGCAAAGCAAAACTAGTATCACTTGCCGTCAGTGGCAGCCTGCTGTCATCCCACACGCAGATCTGGGGCCCGCTCCCTTCGGGAGGAGTTTGGCACATTTCTGCTGCCCTTGTTGGGGACACAGCCCCCAGATCTGCGTGTGGGATGACAGCAAGCTGCCACTACCAGCTGGGTTCTTCTGGGTGCTTGGTGCGGGCTGCGACAGGCAGACTCGGGTGCTGGCCCCAGCCACTTGCTGTCATCTGCATGCTCTGCAACCAGTGAGTGCAGAGCTCAAAAAACAAAAAAAGCCCCATGCTCACCGGCTCTGGCAGCGGCGATTGGGGCCTCCAAGCGCTTGTGGCAGGGCATGCCCGCACAGCACGGGGCAGCAGGGATCGCCCTCCCACCTGGGACCTGCACAGCAGCTGCCCCATGGTGCAGGTGCAGCATGGATTGGCAGGGCGCCACACACTGTCTGGGAGCTGGGGCAGCTCCACCTGTCAGCCAGAGCTCCTGGTTTGATCCCCAGCTCTCTGATCATTCCCCCAGCTCTTCCCAGGGGATGTGGCCCCCAGAACTGCATGCAGGATTTCAGCAGCCTGATGCAGGATTTCAGCCAGCTGGGGAAATAGCCCAGAGCTGCTGTCATCCCCACCTGGCAGCAGCAGCCTGCTGTCATCCTGCATCATCCAGGGGCCCGTGCCCCACAGGAAGAGCTGGGGGGAGTGATCAGAGAAGGATCGGGAAGCTGGGGAATCAAACTGGGAACTGAGGGAATGTTCAGGGACCTGAACATTCCCCCAGCCCCTGGCTCAATTCCCCAGCTTGCAGTTTGATTTCTCTCAGGTCTTCCTGTGGGGTACAGGCCCCCAGTTCTGCATGCCAGGTTTCAGCAGGCTGCCACTGCAGGCTCGGGCCAGCGGCAGCACAGCTGTCTTCCCAGGGCTTGGTGCAGGCTGCACCAAGTAGCTGCTGCTGGCCCCAGCCTGCAGCAACCCCATGAGCAAATCAGGGGCCTGCGGTTCCTGGGAAGAGCTGGGGAAGTGATCAGACAGCTGGGGCATCAAACTGGGAGCTGGGGAATCTAATCGGGAGCTAGCTGTCAATATCAGAGCAGTCCTTCCCCCCTTACTCTCCCTCTTCTCCCTCCCTCTCCTTAGTTTCTGTTTAGTTGCAAGCAAGTCTGACTTCAAAACTCAAAACATTTTGAAACATTTCAAGTTCAAAATGCATTGAAACAGCTTTGAAATGATACACCTGGTGACATTTCATACAGCCCTACCTCATACCTCCTCACTCCATCTCTTACAGAATTCCCTATTCTATGTGGAACAGCAAAATGAATGGAGCCCAATTTTTCAAAGCAGGAAAGCCCACCTTCCTGTCATTTCTTGCTGATACAGAACTTGGAGCATGGATTTGGAATTGGGTATAGAGCTGTGGCTGACAGGAGGAATTTATGAGGGAGTCTGCAGGGCTTTTGGAAGAATGGAAACCACATGACCAAATGGGCTCCACAGACCTAGGATTAACAGTGCCTTGTTGTTCTGTTGCTCCTGCAGCTTTGTCCTACCTTGCTTTGAAGTGTTCAGTGCTAGGTATTTCCTCTATGAAGATCTGTGGGAAGACTGAAAGTAGGAGGGGATGATACTGGAGCACCAACTTCCCTTTTCAGGACTGCCCCCTGTTCAGCTTCCTGTAATCATGGAAAGGTTGTTGCCCAGCACAAACCCATACAGAAGACAGCTTCTGCCCCAGTAGAGCAGGGGATGCCCTTTCCTATGGCTCTTCCAGCTATACAATCTCCTACCCAAACCAGGACTCCTAAATTCATTCCATGAACAGAACAAATTCCCTGAAGGCTTGAGCTTTTCTGTGAATAGGCATTCAGGCCTACAGTATGCAGGCCAATGAGCCTTACCTTTCCCTGCATCAGTAGGGATTCTGCAGCATTCTTTACTGATACTCACTTCTTGCGGCTGAAGTGCTTTTGAATTCAGATTGGTAACTCCCTACTGTCATGACCCAAAAGGCATGACTGTGTGCGCGCTTCGGCACCAGAATTATCCCCGTCAAGTTGCAGAGCATTGCACGGGAGAGTTTCCTGTAGCAAGAGGAAACCCCGGTGCAGGGACGAGTTTCCCGCCTTTTCTGCAGCTTCTTTTGCAGGGTGCATTGCTCGAGTTGCAAGAGGAATGCACGGTGCAAAAGAGTTCCCGCCACCGGTATGCAAATTCGTTCCCCGTGATTGGCTAGTGGTAAATTATTCACACGTGGCGGCTAACGATTGGCCTGTTAGCCGTATAAAAGGCTTGAGCGGTTTCCGCCCAAGCCGAAGAGGACTCCACATTCATCTCGTGGGGACTCTGGGTACACGGCAGGGTAATAGAAACCCTGTGTGAGATCCAGAGGAGCGTGGCGGCCTGATCCACTGCCCACTTCTTCCCGTCTTCGAACGTGACTTTTATAAGACGTATTTACGATTCCCATTTTGGTGGCTCGTTCACCCAGAGCATCCGGAGCTCTGCACCATGGAGCCTAGCAACCTCCACGAGACCGTCTGTGTTGTCTGTCTGTAACTGCAACTCAATCAAGCTTTCCAGCCTACACCACTGCCATCTCGGTGTAAGTAAACAATCTTTAAAACTACCGATACGCATCTGTGCCTAATTCCAGCTCGACGGCCTTCCCTCTCCAACCCGGCGTGCCCGGGCTGCTGGCCACAGCCCGCGTGCAGCGTGGAAAAGGGCTCGGGTCGCTCCCGGCCCGCACACCTACAAAGCACTTTTTAAGGAAAAAACAGCCCTCACCCTTTTTTTTTAATCTTTCATATAAAGAGATAGATAATCTAATTAAACAGTGCCCCTAAGCAATAACTGTCATTCTCAAATATTTAAAAGCTGCTTAATGGTACCATTTGCATTTGATCTTACTGCTACCGAGGGAGAAAAATAGACAACATCTAATAATACAAAATCTGTGTATTTGTTTAAAGGAACGAGTATTCACTTCACAGTATTTAGGAACACCAGACTCCTACCTCTGACACTAGCCAAAACCAGGTGCTTCAGAAGAAGATATCAAATTCAGACAATCAGTTTGTAGGGAAGGTTTTTTTCAGATCCCATTAGTTAATTGTTAGCTTGTGCCCTACAGCCCAGAGGTATGGTTCTCTTATAGAAAATATATCTATTCCCTGTGACATTATGGATGTTCTCATTAGCCACATGAATGTCTAATCCTTCTAAAAATGCTGCTAACATCTTGTTTGTAATGACATCTTGTGGCAATGATCCTACTGATTTATTAGGCAGTTTCTAAAGGTTTTTCTTGTATCCTTATATTTCCTTAAACCTCATTAATTGCATTTGGTCCTTCGATTACCTTAAGGAGTAAATCAGAACCCAAACTACCGTTTCTGTATCATACACGTTCTTACTTATTCATCTTCTCACTGAATAGTCTAATCCTAGTCTGGACCTTGCAGTACTTCATAGTACTATCACACTATAAATATTAAATAGTGTAATATTATGATAAAACATCAGCTCAATCTCCTAACATGGCAAAATCCTGAAAGGTCTTTATTTTCAGAATTCCATGGGAACTTTAATAAATCATGAAAGTCACAAGCAAACTAGAGAAACAGAAAGACAACCTTTTTCAGGGGCACAAAAGGAAGCTGTTTAACCCTCTTTCACTGTTGATAAATATTTTCGTAGTTTCATGGTAGGTAGGGTCAGAAGGGACCTGAGCAGATCATCAAGTCTAACCCCCTGCCATGGGCAGGAAAGAATGCTGGGGTCAAATGCCCCAGCTAGGTGATTATCTAGCCTCCTTTCGAAGACCCCCAAGGTAGGAGCAAGCACCACTTCCCTTGGAAATTGGTTCCAGATCCTAGCCGCCCTGACTGTGAAGTAGTGCCTCCCGATATCTAACCTGAATCTACTCTCAGTCAACTTATGGCCATTATTCCTAGTTACTCCTGGTAGTGATTGGGGGAACAGGGTCTTTCCCATTCCCCACTGGTCCCCTTTAGTAAGTTTATAGACGGCCACCAGATCCACTCTCAACCTTCTCTTATGAAGGCTGAACAGGTTCAAGTCCCATAGCCTCTTCTCGTAGGGCCTGCCCTGCTGCCCCCTGATCATGCAAGTGGCCCTCCTTTGGACCCTCTCGATGCTGGCCACATCCCTCCTGAAGTGCGGCGCTCAGAACTGGACACAGTACTCCAACTGTGGCCTAACCAACGTCGCATAGAGGGGGAGGATCACCTCCTTGGACCTACTCGTGATGCATCTGTGGATGCATGACAAGGTGCGGTTAGTCCTACAGACTGCATCCTCACATTGGTGGCCCATGTTCATCTTGAAATCAATAATGACTCCAAAGTCCTTTTCTGCCTCTCTGCTGACGAGAAAGGAATTCCCAAACCTGTAGGTATGCTTGCTGCTGGTTCTTCCTCTCCAGGTGCAACACCTTGCACTTGTCAGTATTGAAACCCATCTTATTCTCATCCGTTCACCCTTGTAACCTGTCCAGGTCTAGCTGTAGCCTGTCCCTCCTTTCTAACTTCTCCTCACATCTTAGTGTCATCCACGAACTTGAACAAGGTGCTTTTCACCCCCTCGTCCAAGTCGCTGTTGAAGATGTTGAACAGTGCAGGCCGAAGGACCGAACCCTGGGGGACCCCACTGCCCGCATCCCTCCAGGTCGAAAACAACCCATCCACCACCACTTTCTGGGTGTGGCCCTCCAGTCAATTTGCAACCCATCTGACTGTGTAGGCATCAATGCCACAGTTCCCTAATTTTTTGATGAGAATGGGGTGAAAGACAGTGTCGAACGCCTTCCTAAAGTCCAGAAAGACTATGGCCACCGCAACACCTGCGTCCAAGGATTTTGTGACCTGGTCGTAGAAGGCCACCAGGTTGGTCTGACAGGACCTGCCTCTAATGAACCCATGTTGGTTGCCCCTAAGCATAATCTCCCCTGTAATAAAAGTAAGAAGCATTAGTAAGATAGCTGGCCAACTTTTAAAACTTCTCTGAAAGGCAGAAACATAAGATTTCAGGCATTTTTCTCATCAGAATATATAATCAACTGGAAAAGGAATGCTGATATAAATACATTCTCTCCCCCACCCCATCTTACCATCATCTATTATGTCTTGAGCTGCCACAGAGTTTGTATACACCACTAAATCAGACAGAGCACGACATAGCTTCATGGTTTTTCTCCGACGGCCCAATCTGTTGGGAAATATTTGTATCACTCACTCTTGTACACTTTATTTATATTTTTCAAATGTTTAATATTTAAAAAATATTTCTCTCTTTTTGTCCTTTTCACAATTCAGCAAAAAGCCGTATCTGGGCATATTATTGTTAAACTAACAATTATAAATTAACAAACAGGGCAATTTTAAATTAGCAAGAAATAAAAACAAAAAAGCAAGCATTGTAAACATAATTTTCAGCAACCTCTAAAAGATTATAGGTCACTCTGAAGCCACATTTCTCTTTCTCCCATGCATACATACATCTCCCCACAAACATTCCACCCTTCTAGACATAATGGACATGGTTTATAGTATGGTTCTAGCCATTATATCAAATAAAAGTAAAGTGCAAAAGCAGCTTCAAAAAGAAGAGACTTTAGCTGCAATAAATGCTTGTTACATTGTCAGCTGTAATAATGTCAGACAGGGTGTGATATGCTATTATTCAAACTAAACAATGTTCTAAGTATCATTTAATGTAAAATTGAGCCTGCCTTTTTTCTACTAGGCATGTATTGCTATAGCTTTTCATATTTAGTTTATGAATAATTGCTATTTGCATTTCACTGTAATCGAGTATTGGGTTTTTGTAGTTACCACAAAAATATTTCAACAATGACTTGCTCTTGAGAACAGCCTCCAGTAACTTAGGTGACAAAGCACACCATGTCCATTTAGCAGTCAAATGTCTCTAGTTTCCACTGAAATTAAATTGTGATACTTTCTGACCTGTGGAGCTGCCCAACTTCCTTTCCAGTAGAGCTTTGCTGGCTCTCTTCATCATCAGATGTGCTGTGAGACTTGGACCTTGACTTAACAGCTTTCTGTTAGACAAATCAGAGAAAGCTTATTCAATGAACCCATGTACCATATAAATCCACATTTTATCATCATTAACTGCAACTTATGTTGCCCCTAAAATACATCATTGACCTAGCTGGTATTTTATAATTTCATTTCTATAATTAAAAATAAAGTTCCACTTTTGAATTAACAGTATTTAAAGTACACAATGGCCATTCACTGACTTCCTTAGTATTAATCATTAGTGAATATGGCGTGTATTCTGGCTAGTGTTTCTGCAGATACAAGAAAAAAAATGACGGAGAGGAGAATTGTTGTGTGCCCCTGCGCTCTGAACACTGCTGTGGCAGGTTGGAGGTTCATATAAACACAATCTTTATTTCCTGGGACAAATATGGTCCACAGGACACAGTGTAAACTATCAATAAGCCACCAAACAAATACACAAATAGCAAAGCATTAACTCACACCCTGCAATCTTTTCCAGACCCTGAGAGAATAGCCTAGCTCAATGCTGCAGCCCCTAGCCACACAACCTTCCTGCGCTCTCTCCAAACTTTCTTCCCTGAAAGCTTTTAATTTCCCCATGGCTAGCCAATTACCCTCATCAGCTGGCCCAATCTTCCTTGGCAGGCCTGCAATCACTTTCTTACTGCCTGCAGCTGGCTTGTAGCCTTTGAGGCATGCAGCCTACTACAACTGCCATCATGAAGCCCATGGACTTCCCACCCTGCCAGTCCTGCAAAAGTTAAACTGTCGGGCTGTGGGGACAGGTCATAAGGGGATCATCTGAATGGACCTAACCTATCTGGGGCTATTTTGTATACTCCCTCACTTGTGTTATGACTTTTGCCATGAGTAACCTGCATACTTGGCTGTGCAAAGGCAGATGAAAGGGGATATTATAGGTAGGAGACAAAAGTGAGAAGAGCCATAGTAAAACCAAGATCTTGAATAATATTTCCAGTAAAATAGCAGAAATCTTATTGGGTTCCTAATGTACCATAGAATATTTAATAACAACAAATGATTTTAATAGATTTATGAAAACTGCATTGCTTCTATCTATGACTTCTGAGATACTTATAAGTTTAACAAATTCATTCATAAAGTAGAGAACAAAGAGTCTCCAGAAAAAAATATTTAGATAGCTTGAAGTCTGTTTCTGCTTTCTGAGTTGTCCAGTACATGAAAGAATCAAAGTATTCTAGTATCTGACAATGCACATTAAAATTATTAGCTCTAATAAAAAAACACTAGAATTTCAAGGTTGTTCTTTTCATAAACATCTCTCTTGAATAGCAGTAATGTCTTTCAACTGTTCCTTTTGTGATAAAAACAAATAGCCTGCTTACTGGGAATGTTTTCTACAGTGTAGCATTCCCAAACTTTGATTTCAATATATTGCAACATATTCATTGATGACATCTTCAACATTCAAACCTCACGGGAAGGAATCTCCAGAGAAATTCCACCAGGACTTTAACAACTTCCACCCCTCCATCAAACTGAATCTGAAATACTCCTCCCAGCAAATTAATTTCTTGGACACCAGTGTGAAAACCTGCAGTGGCAAGTTTCCACATTATATTAGAAACCAACCAACTACTACAGCTACCTTTATGTCAGTAGCTCTCATCCTAACCACACCACTATATCTATCATCTATGTCCAACCTCCACATTACAACTGTATCTGCTCTAATTTCACTGACCCAAACAAATCTATCCTGGCTTGCAGGAAGCTCCCCAACCTCAAACAGTGTCTCTCCAGCAATGCCTGTTCTCACTAAAGCATCAGACCTTGCTCTGGACCTACATACCACCTATATCCGCTCATCAACACAGACCATATCATCAATGGCCCATGTAATACAGATTATAACACCTGAGGTTCATTTACCTGCACCTTTACCATTATCATATATGCTATTGCCTGCTTACAGTGCCCCTCTGCTGTCTGCATTGGACAAATGGGACAATCCCTATATATAAGAAAGAATGGACACTGATCTGACATCACTTCCAGAAAAACAGACAAGCCTGTGGCAAAATCATTTTAACTTCCTTGTCCATTCCTTTGCTGACCTCAGAGTGGCTGTACTTAGACAAGAAAACTAAAAACTAACTTGAGTGGGAAATTATAGAACAAGAAATCATCCACAAGACTGGACTGTGTTAAATATGGTCTAAATTTGAAACTACAGATTCTTATCCCATTACCTGGATTAGCTTCCAGGGTGGAAGGCGGGGAGGGGGAGGGCACCTTAATTAGAGTGGCTTTGAGAGAGACTCTAATTAAAGGGCCCTCAGCATCATGTGTATTCGCATTCCATGCTTCAAAATGGCCTCACCACCATTTTGAAATGCAGGGATGCTGAATACATGTGACACAGAGGCTGACTCACAGAAGACTTAATTAATTGGGTCTGATCCAATGTATGTTACTTAGCATGCAGAAGACTGTCACATGTATAGGTGCCCTATAAGATTTATGTCCCTCAATGGGTTAATTGCTTTGTTTTTCCATCTTTTACCCATCTTGCCTCTCTCAGCAGTGCCCTGTCCATCCTCACCCTCTTCCCTTCCTTTTGTATCCTAATCACTGCTTTCTATTTAGCAGCTCTGCTTCCTGCAGTGCCTTCACAGCATCTGATGAAGTAAACCCACTGCTTATGAAAGCTTATGCTATATATTTCTGATTTAGTCCATTAAAGGACAAATCTACCCTGCCTTCTGCCTGACTTCAAACTAACATAAACTAACAATATATTCAGTGACGTTGTAATTGTAGTTCAAATAGCTCTTTAATTTCCCCTCTCCATAATGAGGTGGCTAACATCTAATTAAGAAACACTCTCTTTTCACTCACACATTAATAAAACTACATTCCAGCTCAGATTCACTGATTTTTAATCTCCCAATACAGTATACTAATAATGCCCGTAACTGAGTTTATCCTGCTGTTATCACTGTTGAAAGAGACCAACTATCCCTTTTGTTGACTGGGTGTGTTCTCTAGTGTTAAGTATACACACCGGAGAGTCTGGACTCCTGGATTCTACTCACAGCCTACATTCAGACAGGCTGTCTACCCAAAGCACACAGCTCCCATCATATAGTCCCCACAGAAAATCAGAATATAACATCTTTGAAAATCCAGAACTATAGACATCAGACATAGAACATTTGCTCAGGTCTACTCAGACAGTCATCCTTTCCTTTTTGTGTTCCTGTGACAAGATATTTAACAACGGATAATGTCCATTAGCATGTAGAAGAGTTACTTCCTGAAATCACCTGCATGTTGAATGGATACTAGAACTTATTAGTCACCTTTTGGTTTCTTGAAAACCAGAGGCTATGAACATGTGCACTTAGCCATAGCCACTGATACTGTTCCACATTTATAATTTAATTACAAAAGTAGGGCCTGAATTTCTGCTCTGTTACATAACTTTCTCACTGTTGTAACTTTACTGATTTTATTTCAGTTAAATCAACCTGATTAAATAGATTTATGGTGACATAAAACTAGCAGAGTGGAAAATCAAATCATGCAGCTCTACAAAAATGTACGCATTGTATGAAGAGCAAAGCTAAGAAAAACTTACATAAATTCAGGGCCTAATTCTGAAACACACATTGAGAATTCCCTTCCTAAAACAAGTAATCTCCAGAGGCCTACTGTGTAGTAAGGTCCTATTCATCTGAGCAGGACAGCAGAACTAAATCACAATCACCCCGTGTATAGTGTGCACAGATAGCATGCCACTGTTATCCAAACCCAGTCCGTTTGTAGACCTTGGCTTAAGTGTTCTAACATAGAACCAGACATTATCTCCTGCGAGTGATTTAACTCTGGTTGTTCCCAGGTTATTTTTCTCCTGGAGTAGCCACTTTTTTTCTCCAAGAAAAATTCTTAACATCTGTATACTCAATTTATTCCTAGGATAGCAGTGACAAACTGAATATCTGTACATGGCCATAGAGTACTCTTGACAAAAACAATAAAAGACAACATAAATGTGATTCCTAGCCATGAAATCTACTTTGTTCTTCCTCTAATTCACATCACACTTCCCATTTTTTCACCAGGCATCTATAGAAATGTCATGTCTTTAAAGGACTAGGCTTTGCTAAGCTCATTCCTTAATAAATTTAATTTGAAAAATGTTAGCATTGAGTATTATTTGGCTAAGGCCTAAAGACCTGTTGAGATCTGTTGACATACTGCGTAGATCCTGGCTGTGAATGCCAACAGGGGTTATGTGTATGTGAGAAATGATGTTCTATGCAACCAGCCTTTTCATAACTTTTCTATAATTAGTCCTCCCATCAAAGAGCTCTGTGTTAGTCTTTTCATTACAGAAATTTTCCTGTGCATACTGCACTGGGTGAAAATGAAATACAGACTTTTATTTGACATCGCCCTTCTATCAGAGTTTCCTCCCAAGAGTCAGTTAGGGTCACAGTGCCTCGAGATGAGAGATCCCATGCTTTTCTCCATCCCAGCTAACTCCAATGGAGGGAGTAGAAAAAGAGAAGTGATGGACTCATGCAAATTCCTCCATACTTTTTTGTTATGTTGCTACTGTTGTGCTCTGTGATCTTCTGCACTATAAGCTGAAGGAAGAGTGATCTGCTTAAGAGAACTAATAGAAAGCTAGAACATTCAGCACTTTGCCCGTATTAAGATAGCTTCCAACGTCAGGTGAACAAATCAGTTTATTGTCCTGGCAAGTAATGAGGTACACAATGAATCCTTAACAAATATATGTCCAGATGCCACGCAATCCTTCTAGGCTAAGTACAGACAGTCAAAAACCCCGAGGCAGAATTGATTTAATCTAAACGGCTTCCTCACAGATACATAAATTGAACTGATAACCAACTGCACTGACATTCAGTTTTCAATCGGGAAAGACAGGGGGAGGCCTGCATTGACCCTGGCCAGTAGGCAGTGGGCCCTAGAGTTTGTATCCCAGCTTGCTGGTCATTGCCAGCCCAGTCAAGTGGGGCCTCAATTAGCTCCCCAGTGCATGCGCCCAACCCCCTGCTGTCCCGCCCACAGGGGGTTGAGGAGCCCCCCTGTCCAGGTGCTGGCCCACCTTGGGGGAGCATCCCTCTCAGGGGTTTTCCCCAGCCTGGGTTCCCCGGCTCAGGCAGCCCTAGGGAGCTGAAGGGAATTCCCCCTTCCCCCCCCCAGCAGCTGATTGCTTCAGCCACTCCCACTGGAGGAAGGGAGAAGAAGTCCTCCTGGCTGGGTGCCTGCCCATGCAGCCCAGCCCACCTTGGGGGCCTTCCCCCACCTCAGCCCAGGGTCTCCCAGCCCAGGGCAGCCCTGGGGAGCTGAGGGAATTCTTCCCCTCCCAAACCCTAGAACTGCTTGCTTCAGCCCTGGGAGTCTCATGGATAGCCCAGGGCAGCCTCAGGGGGAGGAGGGAAATTCTTCTGCTTCCCTGGAATTGGTTTTGACTCAGACTCACAGCAGCTGAGGCAAAACTGACTGTAGAAGAGCAGGAAAATTGTCCTCCATTCCCTGAGGCTGCCCTGGGCTATCCATGAGACTCCTATCACAAGCAGCTGTGGGGTCTGGAAAGGGGAGAATTCCCCTCAGCTCCCTGGGGCTGCCCTACTGCCTCCCCAATGCCTCCATGCTGTGCTGCTTGGGCAGGCACCTGGCCAAGAGGACTTCTTCTCCCTCCCTTCTGTGGTAGCAGCTGAAACAATCATCATCTAAGTGGGGGCAGAGATTTCCTTCAGCTCCCCAGGGCTGTGCCCACTTGGCTATGGGTCCCCTGGCCAGGAAAGAAGAAGTCCCCTGAGATGGGGACTCCCTGGTACCCACAACCCCAGGGCCTTGGGAACTCCTTCCCCCTCCCTCCTGTTGCAACAGCTAAGGCAAGGACCTGTGCAGGGGAGGAGGAGGTGGGGAACTCCCCCCAGCTCCCCAGGCTGCCCCTGGCAAGGGAGGGGGGCTGCCAAGGGTCAAAAAGCCCCCACCACAGGGGCTTTCTCTCCCCCTGACGTACTATGTAGACCCCGACTAGTCTGGAGGACTGTTCCCTTCCCCCCCATGGGCTGATGGATGCAGGCAGGAAGCAGGCTAGGGAGCAGAGGGGCAAGGCAGTCCTTGCTCCACTGGTGCAGGGGGACTGTGAGTTAACCTGTACCAGGAAGAGATCTGGGACAGAAATTCCATAAACCGTTTGACCTAAATCCGTTAAGTCTGATACTACATCCAATCAAGTTTATCTTAAAATTGGTTTTGGCCATTTTGAAAGTGTTTATGTACATTGAACTTCTGTTCTGTTACAGGTTTAAGCCAGTTTCCAACCACATAAACCAGTTTACGTGTAACTTTTGTCCCTAGCCCAAGGGAGATGCTTCAGAAAATATTGGCCTGTGTGACTTGCCTAGCTTCTCTCTCCTGAGTCTGCAGCAGCATCTGTTCCCTACATGTGAAACACATGCCCTTTCTTGATGTGACACATAGGTAGCTTGTTCTCTGTGAAGTTCATCCTGTAGACACTTCTTTCAGTGAAGACTATTAGTGCAAATGTCATTATTTATACACAATAAAGTAATAGTAATTCTACATCAGTAAAGGACAATTCTGTCTCTAGGTCATCCAAGTTTTTCTGTATTTATTTCCTATCATCTCACACTAATTGCTATTACCTTCTTCAGAACAGCAACAAGTACATTGTAGCTAATCAGCAAATACTGTACAAGAACAATATTTCCTAATCTGCATTCTGGTGCTGTAGTTAGAAGACAGTCTTGTCTTTTACCAAAAACTCAATCTCTGTGACTTCAGAGCCAATTTTTATTAACTCTCTTGACACACAATGGCTATTGGAGACTCTAGTCCTACTTACCTTGTGCTTACCAAAGTTGCCCATTAATGACCGACTGTGGGATTTTTTTCCACTTTCTTTTATGTCTGAGTTCTGCAAAAAAGAAAAGTGCACAATGAACACATTGTTCCTCAAACCATCTCAGGAATTTTTTTTCTCTTTTTTCTAGTCTTCCAGGGCCTTTAAAAACATGTATTTTTCAGCATGCTACAGCTTTTTTTTTTAGAGGACATTGGGCTGCTATTATGAGAATATATTACATAAAGGAACAGAAATTAAAGTGAAATTATTAAAATCTAAACCCAATGTGATTACTAATGAGCATAAATTTAAATGTGCAAATACAATATACAATGTTTTTATTCATACATATTATTTGTGGCTTGGCAATTGGCTGATAGTAAAGGAAAATAGACAAGTAATGACACAACAGTACTTTAAATCAAACTTAAGACAAGAAAAATAAGAACAGAGAGACTTATTTTTTCTCTCAACAAGCATTCTGATGGTGGAACTAGAGCAAGATAATATTTATTCATACTAGCTGATGAACCTATACAGACTGAATGTAAGAAATCATATTCATCATTAAAACAGCAGATTCCAAATTCCTTTCTTCTTTTCTTATAACATGCATATATATAATACTTCCCTCCATCCCTCACTTAATGCCAATATGTAAGTACTGCTGCCACTTTACCTCCTGCTTGTTATTTCTCTATGGTGGATGGATGAAGAAACCCACATCAGCCATTAGAGAACTGGTGGGGTCAAAAGAGCAGCCTACAGCCAGTACCAAAGGTGCTGTATGGTCTACAACAGTGGCAGCACCTAAAAGAAGAATGAGATACTCTACCCTTTGATTTGTATTGTGTGGTTCTTTTAGACCAGTGATGCTGGGGTGCTGTGAGATCCTTTGAAGGGTGCCATCGGATGGCATGCAATATGAGCACTGTTAGGTGTGCAAACACTTACATATGATTCACAACATAAACCCAGAGACTTCATACAGGAATCCATAGTATCAAAAACATTCCAACCCATTGTAGTCTTCCCAAGTTATTCATGATAAAAGAGTTTCTGTATTATTTTTCCATAGGCAAAAAACAAGTTAAAGTTAAGAGCTGGAATTTTCTAAGGGGTGCTTTGAATCTCGTGAAGGGTTTCTAGAGTCTAAGGAGCAGTGCCTTCAGTCTAAAAAGATTGAGAACCAATGCTTTAGATCAACTGATCTTCTGACAACCATACTACAAAGGGCCAGTTTATGCTTCCTCTTACTCTCAGATTGCATTGGTATAATTTAGTTAGTACCAATTCCATTTTCACACCTAAGCAAATTATAATTAAGTCAAATTAAATTAATGGACTTTCATCTGTGCAGCAATAGTGGCCTTGATCTTTCTTTGGCCTTGGTCCCTTATGTCACCGCAGAAATGATCAGGATTTTTTTTTAATATATCCATTTAAAAAAGCCAGGTGTCATTGGTGCAGGATGCAATTACAGTCAAAACCAGAAAAGTCCTCACCCATTCAGAATAGCCAGTATGTAGTCCACTAGTTAGGGCATTAGCCTGGGATGTAAGAGGTGCATCTACAATTTTCTATTCCACCTTTTTCAGGCCAGAAACTTGAACCTCAAAACTTCCACAGCCCATTTGTGTGCTTTGGCCCCTAGACTATGGAGCAGCCTTCTGTGCTTTCCTGTCTCCAGTTCTCCTATTGAAACTGTTCTGTAATCAGAAGCTAAAGAGAGGATAAAGGACTGAGGTTCCAAGTTCCAAGGATGCTGTGTCATACTCTTTGCAGGCAAATGCTCTAACACAGGGCAAAGTGGCTCTTCTGGAATAAGCCAACTCCCCTTGCTTTGATCCCAGTGCAGAAAGGAATCTTGACAATCTTTATGGGATAGAATAACCATTTCCTACCAAGCTCTAGTCACCATTTACAGTTGGGTGAAGTGAGTACAGAGTCAGCATAAAGTGAAGACACCCCTGTAAGTGAATAAAAAATTCTGATAAGATATCTTTTTACCTGTATATAATTTGGATATATGTAAGGGATATAGTAAGAGAATAGTATATCAGGCTAATCAAATATAATTATAATTGGTCCTAACAGAATTGCTCGTGGTTTACACAAGTGTAGCTGAAACTTGATTTGGATCTTGAATACCTCTCCAGCAAAGAATACTCCTGAATTAGCACCAGCACTGCTACTGGAAATTGTAATAATTCTGAATGGTTAGGCAGCTAACTAGTTGATTTTATTCCTATTAGCATTATGGTGGGTTCTCTCTCTTCTTTCAAGCAGACTTTGACTCAATTATTACACAGGTGAACAGGTACCACATGTTATATTATCTAGAGGCCAATGCCTTTTGTAGGTCATAGTAATGAAGCCATCTGCAAGCAATAGTTAGGTGCTCTAATGAGATAACGGCAGGGTTGTGGGAGGTCTCTTCAGCAAAAGAAACAGATGCACAAGATGACTCAGGAGCTGAACTGGAATTACAAGCAATGGAATCCAGGTGGACTAAAAAGTGATCAGCCATGTAAAAAAAGAAACATCAAAACAAGACAAAACAAACAACAACAAAAAACAATCAAAAGGCCTGCAGCATTTGAAAGTGCAGGTAACCGAGATGATAAAAGAAAAAAATCTCTAAAACACAGGCAGATGCAGAGTGTGCTTGGTAGGCAGCCACAGGAATCCTTATTTCCACCAGTACAGAGATATCCCCTGGGACATCAATCTGATGATCACTGGCAGTATCTAGCTTTGCTGTCAGAAGACACATCCCTTCATCTGCCTCAAGAGCAGCCAGAAAACCTAAATTTGTTGAAACGTATTTCCCAGCATTTACAGTATGAGTTCAGATACTTCCAGTTATTCAACATACAGCTATGGGTTGGTATGCATTCTCTATTATTTGTTATGGGCTGTTTAGGCTGTTCTTTCTCCTCCAACAACTAACTTGGTTATTGTACCTCCACAAAAGGTTTATAGAAAGCTGCTCCAAACAAAATACAAAAGGGAAAGTGACATGATGGTCAGGACATGATCATTAAGTGATTAAAATATTTTGCTGTGGACAGGATCCACATCCTTTCATTAGTCAGAAATATTTACACAGATTTGATACAAAATGTCAATTACAATTTTTGAAGCAAGTTATAGCTAGCTAGCTAGCTAGATAACAAAGCACTTTGCAAACACTAATAAATCCTCAAAAACAGCCTCTTGTAAAATAGGAGGGTATCATTAGCCTTAGTACTGATATATCTCAACAGCAGTGAAACAAGCAGTTCTGCTGAAGAGCCCCTGAATCTAACTTGAACCTCCCCGGCAGTGCTCTTCTGAGGCAGCATAACAAAGGTGGCATCCAGCTACCTTTCCAGCTCAATTCCATTTTTGTAGTTCTGTAGCATAATATTGCAACTAGGATAACATTTGGTAAGATTAATGGCACTGAAGATATGCAATCTGAGAGAATAAAATTTGACCAGTAAACAAAAGGAAATGGTAAAGCTTCACAGTAGATCTCCTTCTGGCACAAAATCTAATGAAAGTGCTTAGAACAGAGTTTTACAATATACCCGCGCTGGCTAATGAGTTACTGAATTACCAAAACATAACAGTTTAAATTCCTCTTTAAAATGTTCTCTCTTCTATGTAGGTCAACAGATTACATCAATTAAACCTCTAGTTATTTCAATTTATTACTGTATTGTTGAGCTTTACACTGCCAAAAGGACCTATAAGCCACACAGCCAAATACAGTACAGTTTCAGACGAGCACAGGAACAAGTTAAAAGATTAATAGAGGCTATAAGAAGGCATTTACTCATATCAGATTAGTGAACCAGCAAAAGCATACCCTAAAATTTTGTATTATTGGTTGTCAGCAGTTCACTAAAAGGTCTGGTCCCCTTCCCCAGCAGGGGAGAGCGCAAGGTGTCAATAACTCGGCCCATGGACAGGCTCCCCTAGGGGGAGAAAAAGGGGTAGTCTGGAGGGCACAGGGAAGAGTAGTGTGGCAACCCCCATCACCCCTGGCTGGAGATAATCTTTCTGCAACAATTTTTCAGTGCTCTAGCCAGTGGTCTGTGAACATTATGTATACCTCTCTTGATTATATTTTTGTAGTGCTGTAAAGTGATATAAACACAAATCTGTACATGGCATTAGGCTTAGTTTCAGGTTGGGGACAGCAGAGCAGCAGCACTTCAACTGGTATTGCATGATACTGGTATAAGCTATTATACTGTATTTGTTATATCAGCATGCTCCTATAGGGTCATAAACCTAGCAAACCTTTGCAACTATAACCCTTTTTGGTTCATTGTTAGTGACCAAACTTATGTGTACAGCTACTGAAGCAGCCAGATAGAACAGTTACATTGTAATAGTTGATACAAAATCCTAAATGGTAACTTCCCCTGCCCTTTTAAAACCAGTTGAAATTTACATCTGTCCACAGCCTCAGATCTGGTTACTTCCCTTGCTCATAAAAAATCAGCTTACCAGAGAATCAACTCGCTCTAAAGGGGGCTTGAGCAGCTGAAATCTGAGTTACTTTTACTAAATCTTGTGTGTTCACCCTCTTCTATCCCACAGGAAAGATTGTGATATGTGGTGGCCTTTGGGGGAAGACAACTGTTGCAGTTGTGGGGTGAGGCAGGGAGGAAGGGACTATATGAGAGATCTTAGCATCAGGCTACAGGACAAAGTGGGGCTTTGCTCTCCTCTTGTAAATTCACCAAAGCCAATAGGCCTTAGTTTGGGTAGCTGTCTGTCATATTGAATGAAATAGTTTGAATGCTTATAATAGTTGCCCATTAGCCAGTTTAGGAAGACAAGATTCATCTTCTTATCTAGGCCATTGTTTTGGTCTACGTGCGGAAGGTCCTGACTTTGATCAAAGTCTTAGCTCTTGAAAGTCTTAACTCTTTAGAGGCCTTTAACAAAGTTAACATAAAAATGACCCTTAAGCAAACATCCCACATTCCGAGAGATCAAACCCTAGGGCCTTTGACAAGATTGGAAATAAAAGTCAATTCAGTGATATGGAAATTCCCCAAAGTAATTAAAAC